TACAAACCCATTCTGTCTTAAAAAGGTATGATGGCATCAACATTTCACACCCTCTTTCCCTCTTCTTTTTGCTGTTTTCCACTAGTTACCCCCTTTTTTTTTTTTATCATGATTGCCACAAAACCGGTATGGCAGTATGCATCATTAAGCCTTCACCAGGCTAAGTAGGAGTTGTCCACAGGCTGAGAAAAAATCCCAGTCAAGGAGAAGTGTATTTCAGGCCCTGTGTGGACTCATCTTTTCTTAATGGGGTAAACTGAATTTGTGAGTCTTCTGGAGAATTTTCAAAGGTATATGTGTGAGGAGCAACCATTTTCTCCAAGAAAACAGACAAAGTACAGGCAACCTTCAAATACCTAAAGCCCAAGTTCCTGGAGCATACAGAAGGGCTCAGGGCATCTGGACAGAGCTTGTCTCAGGTGAAATTTCACTGGGAATTAAGTGAAAGAAGATAAAGGTAGAGAAAGGTGCTAGTGCTTTCTTTTACTTGTAAGGAACACATAGAGTAATTTACGTTTGAAGTCAGAATCCGGCAAGACTGGGAAAGTTTCATTCATGTCTGCTGTGAAATACAAAGCTGACATTTTTGACAGGAGTAGGTTTATCCATGTTAATGAGGCTCATTACTGGGGGTTGGATGAAGTATTTACTCATGTCCTGGGATGGGATGTTGCCCTGTCTTAGGTAGAGATATATTTTAGAGTTGGTTTTCGTAGCAGAGATAAAGTACTGAAAAAACAAAATCCAAATTACCGCTGCTTAGAGTGCTTTTCTGGCTTGAATCCACAATGTTAGAAAGAACTCCAAATTAAAAAACAGGTGCACTATGTCTAAAGGAATTTAGGTGCCTAATTGTCTATGAAAACAGTACGAACTGTTGAAGATCTTGACAAGTGAGATTAATCTTAAGGGGACGTGACATTCTCCTGCATTCTTGCAGCTTCTCCTAAGCCATGACCCAATATTGCTGCTACGACCTATTCCACAGGCGGCTGAATTATCACACAGATAAGCTATGTGCCAAACGCTCTGCGTCAGCAGTGGGATATCGCATTTTATAATTCCTATTCAGCATGGCTTCAAACGGGAGTTACTGCGGAGCCACAAGTGGAATACTTGCGTGAAGTGACTACAGCTGGGGTGGGTCCAGCCACTGAGGCTGAGGAAACTCAAGGCCAAGAATCAGTCAGCACGGACTGACCAGCCCGAGGCTTCAGATGGAGAGTATGTTCAGGAAAACAGAGAAATCAAGGCTACCCCAAGCCAAAGAGCAAATCAAGAGCAAGGTCAGGAAATCAAAGAGCTTGTACTAAAAGTCTTGGATGAAGATGAGTTAGGACTAGAAGGAGATAAGGCAGGTTAGTCACGAGGCAGGAACCGCTCAGAACCAAAGGGGGTGCAAGCTGAGTATTGAGCCCAGCTCCTGGCCACAGAGCAAGCTCTGCTTGGTCGGGGCCTGAGAGAGGAGGGTACGTGTCAAACCTGAGCAAACGGTCAGCTTGTTCATTCAGTATAGATATGTCAATTTACAGGCAGGGAAAATTCGTGCAACGGAATCACCGTATCTCTCAGGTTTCTTCTTTTCCATCTTATAAAGCTGTGTGAGTCATGGCTCGGGACAGGAGTGAGGCTGGGGTATGTGATGGACTGTACCATCTCTCAGGCCTCCTTTGGCTCTGGGGCTGCGCTACAGCCCTTCGCGCTCTCCAGGCGCTCCTGCCAGATGTGCTCTCAGAGCAAGACAAGCTCTGCCTTCAGGGCTGCAAAGCAGAACAGGCTTTCTGCGACGGCGGTGACAAAGATACGGTCCTTGCTGTGAAGGAGATGGGCACCAGTTGTTTGTGTTTCGTCTCAGCATGAGACAAAAGACGCAGATTACAGTCATTCCTGAAGTGTGGCCACATCAGAAGTAGATTGTAGTCATGAAATCTGTAGATTAAAAGTAGGTATATGCTTCAACAGCTTGCTGAATTATGGGCTCTGTAATTGCCAGGGGCCGTTAAAAGGTTAGTCTAAGTACAGCATGCAATAGAAGTCAGGCACTCACACTGGAGGAAAGATGCAGTAATATCAATACTAATGTGCTTTATTCTGATATTTCTAGGTAACCGCTGTCTTCAGCATACAATCACTGCAGTTTTAAAAATCAAACCCAAACCCGCACACCTCACTAAAGTATTTTTAATGGCATAAAATTCTGGTTGAAGACCAGAACAGAGAATAAAATGCTATGTATCTTCTATGTCAGACCAACACACTTTGTGATTCTCGTTAAACAAGCTGTAAAGAAAAAAAAAAAAAAAAAAGATGCTTTGAATCCAAAATGTCTCAGTTAGCCTTACAACTAGATATGTGGAAGGAATAGGTGTGGAAAACAAACATTGTGTTGAAAAAAAAAAAACAAAATAGAAAATGTAACATTCCTGTTTTAAAAATAAGGCAAGTAATGAGAAAATTAAAATTATTTATGAAGCTAAATGACTTTTAAATCTTTAAATTCCCCACATACCTTCTAGGATTATAGTAACCTGTGGAAGGTCATTATAGTTATAAGGGAAAAGATTAAATAAGCACTTAAGCAGACATAAATAAAACGGACAGGTTAAAAGCTATTAAATTGAACAAGACTAGAAGGAAACCTAATCAGTGCTGTAAAGGAATCCAAACTAACACAGAAGGAAACAAACACCATGTTGAGAATGGCTAATGGGAAGTAGCAACTCTGGAAAGTACAAAATTTTATGAATCCCCAAGTCATCTGTACTGTAGAAAGTTCTTGGGTTATAAGGAAGAGCACCAAGAATTTACTACAGGAAAACTTCTGTAGCGAGTTCAGAGCTTTTCTCCAAAATAACACAAATCAGGAGAAAAAAATTTGTGTAGAGATAAGATAATACGGCTGAAAACTAGTAGCTAGAAGGAGGCCTAAGGGAACAGCCTGCCATGGTGTTTGCTGCAGCAGCGGCTCGGCTGGAGGGTCCTACGCCTGCCCCAACACAGCCATCCGTCTGTCCGTCCATCCGTCAGGGGACGAAAATGGGAGGCTGAAAAAAGGGCTTGAAAACGGGGCATGATTCAAGACCAAGCGTTGTTCCTAAGGAAGAGTCAGGCTGAAAGGAAGGCACCACCTTCTGACTTGGGAAATACTGAAAGACAAGCAGCCAGTCAGCTGGATGGGCAGCGTGCGGATATAGAAACATGCCTGCTGTGGAAGTGCCGGGGGGTTAGGGAGGTGCAGGGGCTGCTGTGCCTGTTGGGCCGTGGCTAGAAATGTAGCTTGATCTCTGAATTAGTAATTTCATTTCTCCCAGGGAAAAATAACTAGGGAGTGTGTGAAGGAAAAACATAGAGTGAAAAAGAAACAGGATTTCTGTAGTTACTCTGGTGTTCCAAAGGTGTAGCTCCACTGAATTCACTGAGGGATGTTTTTGATAATAAATCTTTTAAAATGAGGGATGGATTATACTCTCAAGTATGGATATTTCTAAATATGTCTGGTTTTATATATTTCTCAATATTTCTATTTTTATTTTTCTGACTTTTGCCTGAACAAAAAAAAAAAAAAAAAAACAAAAAACCAAACCCCAATGCATTTTTTTAACTAGTTCTGTATGCCCCAAAGAGACAAAAGTATGCATGCTTTCTTGAGAATGAAAAATAGCATACAATTTTGTGGGAGGAAAAAAAAAATCAATAAAAAAAAATATACATGCTGCTGTCATGCAAAGGTATCTCTGCAACTCCATTACTCTGTTTCAAATGCTACAGACAGCTAAATTTGAGTAAGTGTTGAATTTACGGCACCTGATGTACCAACAGGCATAGATGCCACCTAATTCAACAGCATCAGTTAGATGCAGGTCATTGCATTAATTAAGAGTGCATCTGTTATAACTGATCATTTTGTTCTCCCTAATTTTAATAAGCAATTTTGCCAACATGTTTACTGGAAATATTACGACATCTTCCTGCGCTGAGAAAAACCCAAAGGGCCCATTTATCTGGCTCAACTGTATTCTTGTTTAAACAGAGGGTCATACTGAACCAAAGGATTGCCGTTTTGCCCAGAAGACAGGTCTAAGATTTGACTTAAGACTACAATGTGTCTGCAGGAGGGAGAATCCTTCTCCGCTTAAGTCATCCTGAGCAAGAAGAACACCAACATCCAAGATGCACCAAGGAATGACAGTCACAGCCGCGGTGCTTGAATAACCCTAGGCTGAGGAAGAGTAGGCTCAGCATCCCAATTTCATTATCTGTGCATGACTTGATTTGACGTGTAGTTATCCAAGACGGGGCTAGGAACCCAAACAGTGTAAGAAAAGCAAACTGAACTCGGGCAAAGAATGTTTTGTCCTCCCTCGGATTTAGCCCTCAGGTGATCAGGCGTTGCATGCTTTTGATTTTACCAGCTAGGGATATTTTTCTAAAACGTTCAGAGAGCAAACATGTCTGAATACCGAGCGTGGCACAAAGTGTCACGAACGCTTAAAGTTGCAGGTCCTGCAGCCGAAGGAGGAAGATGCGAAGGGCAGGAGCGCGTTTCGCCAGACCCAGGGCGAGAATGTCCCTGCGTGAACAAAAAGCTGGGGATTGGACGTCGCGCCGGGGAAAAGGCGGGGGGTGTGGGGGTGTGCGCTGAGCAAAAGGAAGGGGGGCGAGAGCTGCCCCCCGGGCTGCGGGGCCGGCGGCGGGCAGGGAGGAGCGGGGAGGCGGCGGGGGGGAGGCGAGGGGAGGCGGCGGGGGCCCGGCTGGCGGGAGCTGCGCGGCCCCGGAGCCAATCGCGAGCCGGGGCCGCAGCCTCTCCCCGGGCCGGGGCTGCGCGGAGCCAGTGCCCAGCTCCCCTCCGCCGCCGGGACCCGGCCCGGCCGCTTCGCTCTGCCCACACCCCCCCCCCCCCCGCTCCTCATCCCCCCCCCCCCTCCGCTCCCACGGAGCGCCTATGGGCATCTGCGACCCGCCGGGGCTTCGCACCACCGCCACCGGGCGACGGCCGCCACCCCGCTTCATCACCCCCTGGGACCTATAGCTGGCAGGACGGAGCGCGCTGCGGACCCCTCCCCGCCTCCGTGCAGGTATGGGCCGGCCGGGGGGTGCCCGACGGGTGCGTGTCGTGTCGTGTCGTGTCGTGTCGTGTCGTCGTCGTCGTCGTCGTCCCCCCCCCCCCTCCTCCTTCCCCGATCCGCCACCGCTTCTCTCGCGGCCGGCTTGCTCCCTTCCTCCTCCTCGCCTGCCCGCTTACGCCTATCGCCCCTTCGCGGGGCAGCGGGGCGGCGCGCAGGGCCCGCGGGCGCGGTGGCGGTGACAGCGCGAGGCCGCCCCGTAGCGTCTCTCTGCCCGCCGCAACGCCGAGCAGCCCCGGCGGCAGCCCCGGCGGCAGCCCCGGCGGCAGCCCCGGCGGCAGCCCCGGCGGCAGCCCCGGCACCAGCCCCGGCACCAGCCCCGGCACCAGCCCCGGCGGCCCCGCCGCAGCGCACCCGTCGCCGCTGCCCCCCTGCCCGCCCGTTCCACCCCCCCCCCCCCCCCGCGGGGATCCCGGCGGCGGCGGGTTGGGTGTCCCCGCGGGGAGCGGGGCGTCCCGTGGCCGCGCTGCCCGCCCGTGGGGCGTTTCCAGCGGCACGGCGCGGTTCCCCGCAGCCGGCAGCGTCTGGGTCTGGGCGCTTTTGCTCCGAGCGCTCTCGGAAGTTACCTGCACGGCCAAAGCCCCTCGGGTTTGGAGCGTCGTGCATCGCATCTCCACCATCCCTCACAAGTAAAAAAAAAAAACAAAAAAACAAAAAACCAAAACAAAACAGTACAAAAAAGAAAACGGAGGAAAAAAATCCTCTCACGCTTGAAACCTATGCCCCTTTGTACCTTTCTTTCTTTGCTTTGGGTTAATGATGGTTTGTGATTATGAAACCCTACAAGGGATCAGCTCCAAGAGCGAATAGCATTACTTTAAGTCATGAGTTGGAAATACATATAGATAGATATATGTATATACATAGTGTTTTGGTTTTTGTTTTTTTTTTTTTTTTCCCCTTGTGAATGAGGATTATAATAATACAAACCCATGTCTGTCTCACAAGGAGTTCCTGCCTGACTTTCTGCTAAGGCTAAGGAAATATTTGCACTTTCACAGGTCTTGCAGAATTGGAGTCACAGGTCTTATAAAAAATTGCAGTGGCATTTGGCTGAACAACTCTTATTTTTAGCACGCTATTGTGAAAGTGGTTATATAACTTTTGGTGGATTTTTGAGGACAAAATTATCAGCTCATGAGAAGTTGAACCTCTTTTTTTCTCTGAAAGAGGAGGAGTAAACTGAATGAAAGCCCGATTAGAGTCAGGTGAGGCTCAGCCTGACAAATGACCATGACAGAGATTCCCTCAGGTGAAGAATCCCACAGTCCTCCCCAGAATCACCAGGCAGCAGGTGCAAGACCAAGCAATGCCTGCACATAGCCCCAATCAGCAAGCTGGTTATTGGGCAGCTTCAAGGCTATTTCTTGTTCAACCAGGCAGAAATCAGCATCACGTCAGAGTCTTGTCTTCCCACTGGTGCCAATACAACACAGATACTGTCTTCCCTTAGGGGATTAGTTTGTTGCTTGAACTCCCAGAACTACACACCTCCTGAAATATTCGCTGAGAATGCCTGATATATTTTAATGCAGATGCTTTGCTTGCTAAACTTGGTGCTTAGTTCTCAGGCTGGCCTTTCCTCACTTCCTTCCAAAAGTTAAAGGAGAATAATAATACCCTAAGATTTTAAAGCAACGTCCTGAGAAAATAATTGAATAGAAGTCAGCAACAGCAATCTGCTTATTACTGAGAGCCAGCACAGAAAGGCTCTGTCTCAGTATTCAGGCTCTGGGCCAGGGACCTCTCTCTCTCACTTTGTTGCATGGTCCTCATGATCTGCCATCATCCAAGACGTGCAGTGAAGTCCTAAATTCTAAACATTTGTGCGTGATTACCGTGCAGCCAAAGAGAGCGGACCAGTTTGCGAAATCTCTGTTGTAGGGGGAGTGAGAAACCTAGCAGGTAGAATTTTGCCTTCTCGCCTCTCTTGCAGCCCACTGTTCGTGCAGAGCTCTTGTGCACGGGGAGGAGGTACATCTGGTAGCAACGAGGTTTGCTCAGCCTGCCACGGCAGCACGATAAGTAAGTGAAAGAAAAAGCATCAGTAAGACCTCCAAAAGGGTGCCACAAAAATAAATGCCATTTAACCCTAGATTTCGAGCTGATTAGTTTAGCTGACCTATTTGCTTTTTATCTATCTTGCAAATAGACTGTGCTGTCATGAAACATGACTTTCAATGTAGTAAAGAACAAAGGTATGAGAAGCTGAAGAATAAAACTTAGGAGTTTTTTGTTTCTTAGTATCAGGCAAAGGTAAAAATTAATATCTGAATTGTCAACTGAAGTATATCGATAAATTCTGTCCTTTGGAAAATGCTTGATTTCATTGACCATTTGTCAATGCTTATGAAAATGTAAATCAAGTAGATCCAGATCATCCTCTTCTGTAATAAATAATTTAGTCCTTCTGTGGTTTTGCTTGATAAATTTGGTAACCAGTAAATTCCAACTGCTCAGTTTCATAGTCCTACACACACTACTACTAAATTCACTTTGAAATAATTCTAACTCAAGCATCTGAAACTGGTGAATTCCACTTCGGAATTCCAATTTACCAATTCCGAAGTGGAATTCACCAGTTTCGGACGCTTGAGTTAAAATTATTTTGGTGAGCAGTCCAAGTCACTGTGCAGATTCACTGACAGCCAAAGAGGCTCTTCAAGAGCTGCACAATAAGGTCACTCTCACAGATGCCTGTGGGTGTGGCTGTGCATTTATATTAGTGTTGTGGTTCATGTCAGGAGTATACTTTTGACGCCAGTCTTCCAGTTGTTCCCACTTACTGTCCATCTCCATATACCTCATGGTGGGCCAGCTGGATTCCTTTAAGATGAATCTAAATGAGAAGATGTGCTTGAGTCATTGCCGGAAATTCAGTCCGTGGGACCGGACCAGAGCTAGCCTGAAATAAACCCTATAAAACGCAGATAGTTTTGATAGAAAGTCTTCCGCGCTTAGCTGTTTTGCTCTGGATGCCTGTTCCCGTTGGGCTGTGCTGGCTGCTGACAGACCCGGCCCATTTGCAGCAGACTGGTGCTGGTGCACGGTGTGGTCCGAAGCCGATACTGACCCTCTTTCCCAGGGGCGTGAGCTGGTCCCTGCTCCTCGCAGCATTGCCTGCGCGTGTCTTACTGAGAAGCTCCTTCTCAGAGGAGGAGAAGCACAGCCCTGCAACAGACCGTGGCTGCCCTGCTTGTGTATAGGCACGCTGAGATCCCTCCGGTTCTAAAAGAAGATGGCTAATGTTTGGGGGTTTTTTAATAGTCTGGCGTGTGGTAGCAGACAACTTTTTGAGTGGCAACTTTGGATAATGCAGCCTTGTGCTCGCCTGGTGAATGTTAACCCAGCAGTTGCATTTAGGAAAGGACTGCTGGTGCTTCTTCACGGTTGTTTGCCTGTCGCTGGCTGTAGCCCTCCTGCGTATAGAGGCTTACAAAGCTGTGCTTATGTTCCTCATTGTGTTTGGGAGTGGTGAGAAGTGTTGGCTTGAAACTTAAAAGCTGTCATTTAGAAATGCCCTGCTGTGTGTTGTGGGTGCAGCACCTCGGCTGACGACATTTCCCATAGGGCACCAGAAGTATGGCGGTGGGGAAGGAAGGTGCCACATGTGGTGGCAGTTGCGGGTCCTGGCACGTGATGGGAAACATCCTCTGTCCTTGGCGTCCAGTTGCCACAAGCAGGTGGGCATGTGCGGTGTCCAGGGAGATGTTTAGAAGCATCCACTTAAAACTGAAAGCTTCTGTTTAAAAAACGCTGAAACTTTTTTTTTTTTTTTTTCTCCCTACAGTTTCTGCTCTAAAGCTGAGAACTTTTCAGTTCTGTGTTGTTTGGTGATTTGGCTGACTTTTTGCACTTTCTTTTTTTTCTTTAGTTTGCTCCTTTTGTGAAAATTATTTTAAATAGAAGGACGATTTTGTTAATTATAAACCATTATCTGTTGTGTGAAAGCATTTTTAACTAGAGAATACGTTATTGGAGCACTTAAGGATCAAATCCTTCTTACTCAGTAACAGAAGATGGTTGTCACTGCTTCAAAAATTGGGCTTCTTACCAACACTTCAGTTTTACACGCATTTTCACGGGGATCATGATAGAAATCATGGGGTTGTGTGTGTATAGCATGAATGATACAAAGCTCCTCCTTGTTCTGGATCACTGTGACTACTCTAAGATTACTTTTATATCACAGAAAATGTTGTGCTACTTGAAACAATAGGAATTGAAAAACAAGAAAGCTTTTTGTTCCCAGATGGCTGTATTTCTATTGCTAGAGGTTGTCTACTCCAAACCTTATTCCAATGTATAGTTTCTCTGTGGGATGAAGTGTAGATTTTAACATGAGTTGTGTAGATTATAGATACATCACTTGAAACCATGCTATTTCTTGTTCTCAGTGCATTAAGTCTTTCACTACCAGTTTTTGAAGAAGATTTTTGAAGTCTGTTTTAGAAAGGGTAACAGACCATAAGAATCAGTCTTGCTCCAGGATGTTAAAATAGAGGGCAATCTGTCTTTCAATATCCAGCGTGATATAATCATGGCAACTTCATTTGTAACCTGTTTTTGTCAAAAAGTCATTTTAGAGGATCTGCTTTTCACATTCTTCTATTTCTTCTGGGCATAGCCATGTTTATCTATGGGATTTTGTATATTTTTTGTTTTGTGATTGCTGTCTACATAGTATAAGAGTTACAGCAGCATATTTTAGATTAGTCATAAAACTAAGGGGGATTTACTAAGGTCAGTTTTTTGTAGAGGCTACACTGCCATATAGCATTAGTTATACTGTAAATGTATGTTGTATATAGAAATATGCATGCTACTGTATTTACTACAAGCTTCTTTACGGAAAGGAAAAGGTAAATTCATCTCTCAGACAGTTTTAAAGTCATTATTGTTTAGGAAGTGAGAATTTTAAGAAACCATAATTCGTAATGAAACTCAGAGGAAATTAAAACTGTGATACATTAAAATACAAAAAAATCTCGTGAAGATTTAATTTCTGCTTATTTTGTGTTAAGGAAGTAGGAGAAGTAAAGTACACTAAGAAAGGAAAATATATTATTTACCCTCCAGATTTCATTTTGGAACCAGTTTTTATTGAGTGTGATGGGCAATGCACAAATACAACATCAGACTGTGGATTTAACAGCAATAAATCTTAAAAATTTCCCGAATTTTTAGCTTCTCTTAAAACTTGGAAACAGCATTTGAACAGCTCATGCAGAATGCGTTGTTGACCTCGTCTTGTACAAACACTTGCTAGAATTGGAAAACTGTATTGAGCTGGTGCTACAAGTCAATGAGCTGCCCTCCTTCATTTGCATGCCGTTTTGCTGTGGATTCCAGACATGTCTAGTCTATCCTATTACTCTGCTTAAGTGCTATTATGATAATGATAAATAGCCTGATATTCTACAGTAGTGCTAACAAAAAAATAAACAGCATTGTAAAAATTCTGCATGACCATTTCTGGCATGATACTGCAGGTTTTTTCCTGGTGCGAATCTCAGACCTAATCTCATTTCCAGTGAGGCCAAAACACTAGTTTGGCTTAGAGTTAAGCGGGATCCTGCCCACAAATCTGGCCAGTCTCCATACAGATAACATCTGGAAAGTTGTCATTTAAAAATATGTGGGAGAGCTTGGGATAGGGGTGTAAATAGCGGGTCAGAGCTTCTATCCAAAATGAAAACATCCCAGCTCTCAGATGTCAGACATCCTTGCTCTAGGCATGTTTTTTGTTATGATCCACCTATTGTTTGTCAGTTCCTGTTCCATCAACATAATTTGGAGCTCAGAGGCCTTTGCAAGGAATGAGAGGAGGTTGACAGGCAAAGAAGATGAGGAATATGTGAACGTGTTGCATGACTTCATGGATACATCCAGTAAAGTCTACTAATGAAAAGAGATGGCTATCACTCGTATTTCGATTTAATTTGTTCTCTGGCTGACACCTTTCAGATTACTACACATAATGGCTTTATACTAAACATGTTTGTTGACTTTGGTCTATATTCTTCATTAATGAAGCCCATGGAAACGTTGCCTGATCCTTCAGTGAGAACAACTTTTGCTGAGATATTCTTAAGAGTGTGTACTTACAAATCGAAACAAATGATAAGCACCTTGGATTCTTTGTAGGCAGGGAATGATTGTTGATCTTCCTTTTTAATATTTCCATTCCTTACTGAAGCCTTAAGTAAAGTCGTAGCCCAGAACTTGTGACTTTTTAAGGGTATCTGAAGATTCAGATGTCACATAAACTGGTTATTAGGTAAGTTTATCTGTGATTTTTGAGTAAAAAATCACAGAAGATATGTGAAAATAGCACTGTGTGCTATTTTTGTTATATGTAATGACTCTTTTTCTGTAGGAACTCTGAAGCAAGGCAAATGTACACAGCAGGAAATGGAGCTAGTTTCTGTTGTATGAAACTGTCTTTCTTTCAGGCTCCCAAAATCCTTTCAGTCACTTACATGAAGTTATTCAACAGCTCAATCTAGGTTAACTTTTTTTTTTTTTTTAACTGTGAGACAAATCCCACCTTTGTCTACCATAAATTCCTCCCAAATGAAGAGAAGCTTTAAATACAAATTGTACCATAATAAATCTCATTTGATTTTCTTTATCCGCTTTTTTTATTTAAAGTCGTCTGCACTTTATGTTCCTTTTTCTTGAAGGAGCACTGAAAAAGCTCCTTCACAAGCTACAGTCCACTATTTTCTGAATTCTACATCCGAAATGCCAGTTGCTCTATCCTTCAACTCAGATAGCCTGCTTCTAACTAGAAAAATATTTTTATGTTGATGTTTCAATAGCTGACTTTAAAAGTATGATACATGCAAACACTATTTTCAGTACCTATCAGAAATTGCCCGTCTTCTCTTTATAAAAAGTCTTGGTTTTTTTTTTCAGTATAAAATCTAATATTTTATAAAACTTAAGTTTCTTTGGAAACAAGTTTATTGTGTCATTCCAAGTTGAGCCTAAGTTCTTTTCTGGACATCTCTAAGGTTTCT